TAAACTTCTGCATGGGACTAATACGAAATGATCAAATATTGAAAATATCAAATCTAAGATGCTGCCAGAAAAGAATAAATAAAGAAGCCCGTAAGTGGATAGTGAAGATGCAGAAGAAGATTTGCAATCAATTTCGAAAGAAGATTTGGAACGAAAGGTGTTCAAGAATAATCAAGTGGGAACAAGCACAAGGAATCCATAGAGAAGACAAAATAAGAAGATCAGTCAGTCCATTAAATCAGAACAACAAGACCATAACTATGAAAAGGTCTATATCGGAAGAAGAAAAACTTGAAGATGAAGGTCTAAAACAAATTTTTCTAGAAGAAGTAAAGTATGGAATAAGATGATTAGGATTTTAATTTCTGTTAGAACTAATAAAGAGGATCTGCAGTAGTGATTTACAGACAATGAAATTAGTAGTTGGAAGGGTTTTCACCTAAGCTACTAATAGAACGATAAATTACTTCCAAAGTTGCACTTAGAATAGTAATAACCAAGACAAGTGAGTTAATTAGAGATTTAACTTTAGCGATTCATTTTACATGTATAGTATACTAATGTTTAATAAAGCACACATAATTAGCCTGACAGAAGGTAAAAAAAAAAAAAAAAAAAAAAACAATAACAAATAAGTTATATTTACTTGATAATAAAAATTTTAAAATTTAAAAATTTATATAGTTAAAATAAATACAAATAAAAATATTTTTTGAAAATTGATTTTAATATAATAATTTTATTTTGAACTATATTTTTTAATTTATTTTTAATATAATTATATATATTATATATAAAATAAATAAAGTATAAAAAATTATAATATATTAAATATAATAATTAAAAAGACTATATACTGTATATATAGATATTATTTGGATTTGGGCGCTTGAGTGACGAAATGGATAAGTGGCAAGTGGCGTAATATTGTCAGGTGATACAAGCAAATTTGCTGATTTGGTTTTTTTTGTTGATTACAAATAAGGTTTCTTTACAAAATTTAATATTACACAATTTAATATTTACAGGTACAGTATGATGAGCAATAATGAAATTTCTGTATATACAAATGCATGTTAAATGATATACGAGATCATTGTCTTCCCTTTGATTTCTTAATTTTATATTTTAGATATTCACAAAAAGCGCGCATAAATCCTATGCAACCATCATCAACCTCATCCTCACCGTCATATACTTCCGATCGTCGTCTTTCAAAGAAACTATCTCTGCGTGAGATCGAGGATTGGCGCGAGATCGAGGATTGGTGTCTGACTGGAGGCAAGGGTGGTATTGTGTTTTCATTATTCGTATTACTATTGCTCCCTAAGACGGTTGAAGGGAAAAATTGTATGGTATTATTTTGTCTTTCACTAATCATTTTTGCGGAAATCGTATTTAACAAAATGAAGAGGTATTAGCTTGGGATCAGAAAATAAGTTGAAATTATTAATGCGGAATCAAATGATTTAGTACATGGTATTTATGCTCTTGCGAACTTCGCTGTTAATATAAATATTAAGGAGATGCGAATGAAAGTTTCGCCACTTCCAATTAAAAGCTATCACGCAATATTAGAATGTATACCGTAATACCGTAATAACAATAGAAGAAATTTTACATTGGATTACGGAAAGTAGCGTTTTGGTGGAGGTCAACTTGTCTGCAAGATGGTGTAAGGGATAGATCGAAATAGCTTAAGCTGGAATTTACTGCATTATTCTAACTAGAGTCTTATGCATGTTTGAGATAATTTACTAGGGAGATATTGGGTTTCATGTGTGTTCGGTACACAAACAGAAGAAACATGGAATTATCTGATTTAATAAGTTTCCCGATGACATCTAAGAGCGTACTGCATGATCATATAAAATATCCATATATAGTGGCTGGAAAAACATATTGCGGAGTTTGATGCCGTAGTGCGATTTTCGATCGTCGCACAAACAATGATTAGAGACGCAAAAATCACGAGCTCCATGCCACAAACACCAAAAATACACTGAAATACGACTCAAGACGAAGATAAAACATGTCTCAGGAGTGATGGGAAGAATTAATGAGGTTAGTGAAAAGTGGGAAAATAGCTAAAAGATTAGTTAATCTAAGAATGGATGAGTTGATCAAAGTTATAGAAGACACATGTTGAATAAAAACATACGTCTCAGTTCTTAAAGGTGTTTAAGCAGTTTTTTTTTGTCTGTGTGCTTTAAGTGATTTAAATATTCATTAGCAGTAATAGAATGATATTTGGATCATATTTTAATTATTAATTAAAATTAATACTGTATATTAAAATTATTTTAAAAAAGTGCTTTTAATTAATTTACTAATTAAAATATTTATAATTATATTTTAATTTGATTTAGTATTTTTATTAAACTAATTATTTAAATCTTTTTAATCTAAAACCTAACTAATTTTTAAAATAAAATAAATTAATTTTAACAATATATAATAGGAAACAAAAAAAATTGCCTTTTTCAAATATATTTAATTTAATAAAGAATTATTTAAATTAAATCAAACTTAAAATATAAATACTTAAATACCTAAAAATTAATTTTACTTAAGACTATTTTATAATGTTTATTATTTTATATTTTTATTTTAATTAAAAAATTTTATAGTATATACAAATTTTACAAACTCATATATATAAATTTAATTTTTTAAATATAGTTTTATATATAATTTGTTATAAAATAATATATAACTTAAAAAAAAAAACTCTTTTCACTGATTCATATTTTTCAAAAAAAAATTTTTTTTTTGATAATTTTCTTAAAAAACTCACAAAAACACTTTCAGCCAAGTAACAAAGATATAAAAAATATTTAAAAGATAGAATAAAAAGTACTTTTTAAGATCAACTTTAAAGAAAAGAGACACTTTTCATTACAAGTTCTATATTTGATCTATAAAACTTTTGAGAGAAAAGTAAAAGCCATAGAATATCTGAATTACAATAAGGATATAATATGTAACATGTTATGGCCTTGACTAATAAATTGATCTAATAATTCAAATAAGTTATTAATAATCTACAAAATTTATAAAAAAACTTAAATTCTTTATTATTAATACTAATTTTATAAATTTTAATAATACTTTTATTACTTTACAAATAAATTTAATCTAATTTATAATTTATAATTTATAATAAAATTTATATAAAATAAATTTGTAAGCCTATAATATAGTGATAATATCTCCAGATTAAAATCATCAAATTCTAAATTCAATATCATATGAGAACTATATAAAAATAATTGGGTTATATAAAAATAGAACTTCTGACTTTTCTATTAATTATTAAACTAAAATGAATCTATTATAAAGATTGTGTAAAAAAAGGACTTTGATATAGTTATATAAATTATACTTGATTTAATTTTCTTGAATTAAACAAAAAACAAATTCTAAGATCTTACTTATAGAAATGTAATTATTATTTGAACATAATATCAACTTTAAATTATATTAATAAATTATAAAATCTTGTTTTTAGAATTATAATAATTACTTAAATATTTCTTACTTTAAATTATATAAGCAAACTTCAGAACTTAATTATATTTAAAATATTCTAATCTAGTATTTTTCTAAATAAAGAATTTATTAAATAAAATTTATTTGTAATACTATAAGTAATGATAAAAAATATAGAAAATTTTTTTAAGATTTAAGTAAAAAGTATTAAAATATTTGAATAATTAAATTAATTTTTAAGGATTTGACACTAGTATATAAGTTGGCATATATAGTATAGTAATTGAATTAATATATAGTTTTAGATTAATTATTTTTTTTTTTTGAGTATCCGTAGCCAGGCTAGATCATCAGTTTATTAATCAAATGAAGACAAAAGTATATTTTCATTCGAGCAGCATGATACATACTACAGCTAAACTATTATTCTAATCTAACTAACTCGTCGTAAGCATAAAAGCCTCTAAGTTTGGCCTTGGGAACAATATTTCGCTCCGCAGTGTCTTTGGGTAAAGACCCTCCTAGTTCACTGCATTATTGCCAGCAGGTTGTCACTGCCATATGTCTGACCAAGCCGCTGGAATACAGGAAACTACAAAAGAATGGGTTGAAAAAAGGGGAAGGGGGGTATCTAAAAATGTCTAAGCAGACAACAAGAAAATAAAAAAGTAAAAATTGAAAAAATATTTCCAGCTTTCTCCAAAGACTCACTTCTTAAGACCTCTTCTCAATAAGAAATGTCTGATTGGGATATCCTTTCTTTTCCTGACTGTCTGAAGAACTTATCCATTCTTAACCTTGATTTTCTTCTTGTGTACCGTCTAAGGAAACTTATTGCCTAGTGAGAACCTTTACTTCCAGGATACACTTGGTCCCAACCTTCTTTGGACAGTGATTTTTTATCCACCTGCGGTAGAGAGACGACTTATGATGGACTCCAGGTTCTTATGTGACCTAGTAAGGACTAGGCCATGTTGTTTTAGTATGATACCTTCCAGCAGCCACGCTTAATTAAAGGAATTTTACTAGTATACATCCTCCATTACCCAAAAGATCAGATTCCCCAACAATCCTTTTGCCTTGTAATGGTGGGAGGGTAACAAGAGTGGTAGGGATCCTCATTGATTGTGATATCCTTCAACAACTTCTGAGGAAATGCATTCTCAACTGTAACCAAAGGGTTGGAGCTTAGTATGGACTAGAGACCGTTCGATCTTATTGTTTGACTGGGATAAAAAGAAGACCTTGGTCTTGAACTTTGCCTGACCGGGATGATAGGAGAGAAAAACCTCAGCTTGAAAAAATAGCAGCTTTTTCACCACCTGGGAACTTGTTGCTCGTATTTTATTGGCCTCATGGTACTTGATCTGGAGGTTAACCCAATTGGAGGAGTGGGATGGATGTGAGGCACCAATCAACTCTTTCTATCACCAATGACGTCATCAGAACACGTGAGGTGACCAGTAGGTTCTTGTTTACATTCAGCTACTAACGTGTTTCATGTCCACCAATCATATTTTGCAATAAGTTGTGTCACCTAAAATTCAGGATCAAACTGAGGTAAATAAAATTCCCCAAAAAATCAAAAAAAATTTTGGGCGACTATAAGAGGGAAGAAACAGTGGGCAGACACCTTGAAATATGGCTTGATGTTTGCCACCTTCCACTGCAGAAAACCTCTATAGATATGCTTCAATATGAAAGGCTTCAAGTACTATACTATTAGTTCTTCTTCCTTTTAGAACTTTCTTGCCATAGGTAGAGAAGATGTTTCTTGACTTTTCTAGGTCACAGGGAGTTAAGTTTTTGTTTGAAAATGAATATAAACAAGAGGAAGGGTTTAGGAGTATCTCTTAAAGTAAAATTTTAAGTTGGTTTAATGATAGTGTTAAGACTTTATTAGCAAAGAAATAAAAAAATTTCTTGCGAGCATCTTTTTTGTGTGTGAGCAGAGGATCAGCAGAAAGAGTTTATATTTAATAAAATCTTTTTTTATTAATTCAATTAATATGTAATTACATTTTTTTATCTAAGTATAGTATATATATTGTTTCCATTTTTGAGAACTTTTTCTTTTGCCAGAATATAATCAAAAGTTATGTGAAGTGTTTTATAGTTTTTTTCCAATATGTATTATATTAAAATAATGAAAAAAATTAAATATTTTATATTTTAAATTTCAAAAGTTTAATTTTAAAAAAATAAATCTATGACAAAATACAATATTATAAGATTAATATTGTAAATTTTCAAAATAATACATTTTATTTATTTTTTTTTTAATTTGATTAACTAGGATAAAACTTTCTTTGGTTAATTTTATTTTGATTTATAATAACAACTAGTTATCTAGTAATGTGACTTTTATATTGTAGTAGGCTAATCGATGAATCTATTGCTAATAACCAAAAGCTTACATAACTTGCAAATAAAAGAGTCTGTCCTTCTATTACACACAAAAATAAACTTAAGATAAAGGTGTAAAAAAGATTTGGGTGAGTCTCAAAATAGTTTTTATTAAAATCAAGAATAACTTTCATAATTATAACAACCTATACAAAAAAATCATTTTATGATTTATCATTTTATCAAGCCATTTAATGAAGTTACATTTATATATTTTTACACATAGGACTATTATATAATCAATATAGCTATTTTAGTATTATATCATGCATAAATTGTTTTATGGTCCACTAATTTTCTATTAACTCAGCTATAGTTTTTTATTTTTTTTGATGTAATGAATATGGTGGTAATTGATAATGGATTATTTTACATAGCTTTGGTTATATTACAATTGTTAATCATATGACCATGGTAAAAATTCTGAACTCAGTCTGACTTCTTTGACCTTTAACAATATATAGAAATCAAATATCAAATGATGAATACGGAAAACTCAATTGTAGTATGAAATATTTCTCTGAACAAAAGAATTATCGAAGTTAACCAAGCCTTTATCAATTATGGAGAAGTCCAAAATATAATTATAAAAATCCAAAACCTTAGACAATATTCTATTATCACCTTTATAAACAAGATTATCAAAGACAAACTAATCAATCTCAGAAGTATAATTATTAAAAGAGACTTAGTTATAATTAACAATATGGAGTAGTTACTTATACAAATGAAACAAAGATATAAAACTTACTAATCTCTTTCCAAATACCTTAACATGTAACCTCAAGCATATCCTCTCACAATATAAAGAATACACATATTATATTTCAAGAATTGCAGCAATACTATATAGATTCAAAAGGTTTGCAATTATCAATTTTGATGTATAAGAAAATCTTCTCAAAAAATATAAAAAATATATATCATGGGTAAACTAAGCACTCTTTTACAACAATTTATGTTCAAATTTGTACAATTTGTAATTCAACTTTATACATAGCTATAGACTACCCAATAAAAGCCTAACAATAACAATAGAATAACTACTGTATAACAAAAATAAATATCTAAATTTGACCCTTTTATAATAAATTCAGATTAACAAAAACTGTAACAATTAATAATTTCAATAAAACCAACCTCCAGAGAAATACAAGAGTTGTCTTCTATATCAATGCAATCTATAATAACCTTTCAAGTCTATAGAAAAGCTTATAATGTTCATGGAAATTTTTCATCTATTTAGAGAAATCTGCTAGAAAATATAAACAATAAAAACACAATTTGTAGAAATTGATAAACTCATTATCAATTTGGAACTCTATAATAAAGAATACAATAAAACAATAGATAGTGACTAATCTAACAACTCTACAGCAATTTTTTACTTCAATCCAATCATAATCAACTCTACAATCATTAAACAATTATATCAAATATATAAAAAACTGTTAAACACAACTTTTATTATCTTTATATAGTATGTAAAATAGTATAACAAATTATTGCAATTTTTAATATAATAATAAAAATTCATTCTACAATTTACTTACTATCCAAAATTAAAATAGATATTATATAAAGCAATAATAATTAAAAAGGACCAAAAAATGAATCATATAATACTACAATAATTATATTCAATTTCTTTTCAAATTAAACTATAAATATATTAAAAAGCAAATTCTGTATCTACCAAGTGTATTTGCCATCTGGGAAAGCAGAAAGTAAACAGCTACAACGGCTACTTCAAAACAAGGTTCTAGATAAGCAAAGAAACCATTTCAAAGTCATAATAATAAGTGACTTTAATGCAGTTGTCAACCCAATAGGGGACCGATTACTATCTATAGACAAAACTGCCCCAAAATACAGAAAAGCTGAAATAGATCTCTTCAACTTTCTAGAAGACTGGAATTACAGTACATAGATGTCCAAAACTCCTGGGAAGAAGAAGGGAATACTACTTTCATATGATCAAATAGCCCAGCAAACAACAGAATTGACTATATTTGGATACTACCAGAAATTAGCCTAAATAACATATATGATTTCAAAAACATTCCAGTGGAGATACTAATAGGTAGTGACTATACCCTGTTATTAACAAGAATGACAATAAACAATCTGCTCAAAAATCAGATACAAGAGTAAGATAGAACAAAAGGTAAAAAAATATCAAATCCAAGCAACTACACTATGAAACAATAGGAGAAATTCAAACTCTGAATAAAACACAAGCTTCCAGAAATTGAGGCACAGGCCTCTAGTATAAAACTGTGAATAGTCCTCAAGAGCTCGAAAAAGCCTGGCAAGAACTTAAAACCATAATCATTAAGGGTGCATACAGGTGCCTTAAGAAGAAAAGAGCCTACTCCACTCCAGCAGAAGAAAAGAAGTTAAGATGAAATCAGTAATTCCAAAGAAGAATTTTGAAGCCTATAGAGAAGCCAATAAGATTCACTTTCTTCTAAAGAAAATCCAAGTTAACTGAGATATGAAGACCACAGAAGATACGGAAAATATAGAGAAGATCATTCAGAATCTATGAGGAACTTATAAATCCCTTAATGAAGAACTAGCACCTCCCCAGTCACAAAAAGAGATCCCAGAGTAATTGAGGAGAATCACTAAAATAGAACATACCCTCAGAATGAAATGTAAAAAAAAAGAAAGTTTTCATATCAGAAATAAAATCAAGGAAGCTCTAGATAATAAATATAATAATCTTAGATCTAATCAGAAGCAGATGCTGGGCTCAGTCTTAAACTGCAAAAAATTAAGAATTACATTAAATCAGGTGCTAATCACAAATCAGGAAGAAAAAGAATATATTGCTACTAATCCTCAAACCATCAGAAACAAGGTTTAAGAATA